TACAATTCATTCGAATAAATGGATGGCATGTCATGCGTTGCCAAATGATTTTGATCATAATCACTTAATTCTAAACGATGCAATTAATTGTATTGAATTGCAAAACTGATATTAAAAACCAAAACATTGAAAATACATGGAGCAAATACAAATAGCATAATAGATTTAATCGAAAGTTTCTAACATTATATTTAGAATCGTGTACGCACTTCACTTTGTATCAATGTTATATCACACTAAAATAAAATGTATTGTACTTATGTGTCGTGAATTATAGTGTCGCAGACTTAATGACGAAAATGTGTCGTGTATAGATTTGTTTCGTTGTGTCTGCTGTCTGTTCATTCACCATTTTGTTTTAGACATACAGCGGCATATAAACAAATCAACTGAACACATGAAAATTATACATTTTCATATTACTTTTTTGTATGTTATTTCTCGATTATTTATTAGTCGAGCAAAAGCCGATCTTGATCGATGATCGAGAGCGGACTACCCTGAAGCGGTCTCATAGAGACCCTATCGACTTGAGGTCGAACAGAGTCTCGGATCTGACTCGCTTGAGTTTTTCGGAATAGAAATCCTAAAATGGAATAAAATTGAAAAATATGTAATAATTGGCTTTTAAGAAAAAAATTAAAATTGTGCTGTATAGCAGATTCGAACCACCATTGCAAAATGTGCCGCATGTGTCGTACTAAAATGTGTCGTGCCGTCGCTGAACAAAATGTGTCGCAACGAGCCCCTCGTATCGCATTTGAATGTGTTACACATTGTGTCGCAAAGTGCGATACATTTTATTTTAGTGTAATCCTTATTTATCCGATCATTAACATTATCTTTTTTTACGGTTATCTAGATATTCTAATATGAATGAATGAGGAACTCTGTTAGCAGATGTCTGTAGATTGAAAGTATCACTTGTATTTTCTCTCCATTGTGTATCGCTGAACTTCAAGTCATAATCGAAATCCTGTGAAAAACTTGCTGTTGAAAATAAATGCTTATTTTCTCTCCTTATCTACTGTATTTTTCTACAAATGTTGTTTACAGAACAGAAGAATTCTAGTTGCACCACACAGCTGTTATTGGAAAGATTATCCTGTTCATAATAGATCATCTACTTTTTCTAAATCACGCAATATTTTTTCATTTTCAACAAAAATACATCGATAAGTATATAACTCACGATAATATACCATTACAAGCGTACATAAATACGTTTGTATCGCATACAAGATGAAACTATGCTGTTTAGATGGATCCTTTTCTTGCTATTATCAGTGAGTTACTGACTTTTATCATATTCAAATTATTAGCAAATCAGATATATATGAAATGTTCTAAATATTTCAGCGTACATCGGATATTGCTTTCATGTGGTTCGTTGGATTACCCTTCCTAGGTCGAACAAGCACAGTCATAAACGATCGTATACGGAGAAATACGACCAAATACATGGCTCAGTATTACGATCGTAAATCTTCGTGTCGTATACGGAGTAAAACAACAATATACGGAGAAAAATACGGTCGTTTACGATTTTCGTATACGGTGATCGTTTTACTCCGTATTTCTTCGTAAAAGATCGTATCGGAGCGTATACGATTACGACAATATACGATCGTAATACTGAGCCATGTATTACGATAAAATACGATCGTAAACGATTGTATCGAGGTCGTATACGGTTGTTTACATTCGTATACGAAGTTTGTAATCGTCACCCTGGGTTGTTAAAAATCGATGCGAAATATCTCATTATATCTCAATTTCAAGATATTCAAAGATACAATTTTTCAAAAATCTTGTACATTAACAAAATTAATTTCAGATATTAAATAATTTATTGATTAAAATTATCAAATAAAGATACAGATTGTACAACCGAAACTTTTTTTTGGTATAATTGGTTTTACTTAATCGAGTTCCTTATTTTTATCATTAATATTAATCAATGTTGAAGAGAACAATATAGTAGTTAGACAAATTGTCAATAATTTATCATTGACGTCTAGAATATATTCTTTTTGTTTAATTAGTCCCCAAAATGGAGAAAATGAAGTATTAGCTGTTCTATCAATGTTTAATCAACACATATTATCAGTATCAATCCTTGCACAATCTCCCCTCTAAAAAAAACCATTTCCTAGGAAATCCTTAGAGGGTTTCTGAGACCTCGGAAACCAAGGAGCCAAATAAAAATTTTCTTCCGATACCAATCTCGGAAACGGATTAAGCGTTTCCGAGGTTGCATTCTTCTCGTTCTCGATCGAGAACCACCGGATCGCTATAACCCAGGTCGATCCTTCCGCCCACCGGATCCTGCAGGAACCGGCAGAAAAGATGCGGAAAGTCACCGTATCCTGCAGAAAAAACATGAGAAATCGCTGGATCATGCAAGCAGTATTCCGGCCGAAAACTTTCGCGATTTTTTTCCTATGATTTCCGGCGGATCTTGCCGGAAAACACAGCAAGTTGGCCGGAACTCACTGGAAAAAATGCGGAAAGTTCTCCGTTGCAATACTGGTTTCATGTTCCAGCGATTTCCAATGTTTTTCTGCAGGATATGGCGACTTTCCGCATCTTTCCTGCTGGTTCCTGCAGGATCCGGTGAGCGGATCGAGCGACTTGGATTGTTGGATCTAAATAGAAATAAAATAATTCATCAGTTTTTAGCTTTTAAAATGGAACTTACTGTTAATATTTTTTCAACCGATGTTGCATCTAAATAGTAGTAAAATAATTCATCAGTGTTTAGCTTTTACAATCGAACTCACCATTATTATTTGTTCATCTAATGTTGGATGTAAACAAAAATAAAATAATTCATCAGCTTTTAGCTTTTGGAATGGTACTCACCATTATTATTTGTGAATCGCATATTGTATGTTCTCTGAACATGCTCGCTGTAGCAGGAGTTTTATGTCTGATTCCATAGGCTTTAGTCTTTTTTCTCAGAATAGAGCATTTAAAATGATAATTTAAAACCAAAATTTTTTAAGTTAAACTCTGAAGTAATTCGTAGAAGCGATTATGGGTTGATTGAGTGGTCATTTTTTGTGGACATTGAGTGGAACATAGTATGAAGTACATAAGTTTTTCTGTAATAATAATTATTGATTTCCAAAATTTAACGTATTATTCTTCCTCAAAAATTGAAAATTCGCATGAATTCAATAATTTAAAGTCAATATAATATTTTTTCAAAAGTTCATCATGAATTTAGATTCGAAGAAGTGAAGATTAAAACAGCGATCCATAATTGAGGAAGTTATTAAATACGAACAATTTTTGTTGACGTAAAAATATCTATAATGGGTGGAAGTAAAGATGAGAAACGAAAATTTGAACACCTGAAATATTCTTTTGAGACATTTTGAACTCGAATCTGGGCTTTTTTGTGGAACATTGTGAAGATTTTTAAAAGTACTGAAACCTTTCACAAATTAAAAGAAATCAGAAACCTTACACAAATTAGAAAGACTCGGAAACCGATTTTGGTTCTCCAGTATACTTTATCGACACTCAGTATGCTCGAGAACTTAAAACGTTTGCGATGAAAGACTTCGAAAACTGGAAAGGTATTCTCGCATACCCATTCGGATACCAACTCAGTTTTTCTGGCTAAATTAGTTTCCTATAATACCGTAACGGTTTCTGGGAATACGGTTAGGTTTCCAACATCAAGAAAAAGGTACTCTAGAATACCATGATGACGTCGAAATCGATATTTTAGGAAACTCGACGGTTTCCCAGGGTTCGGAAAGCCAAAAAGTAGTTTTAAAAACGCTTCAAGTTCTAGGAAATCCTCTCGGAAACTTTTTTTCGGTTTGCGAATGGGTTTCGGAACCGGTTTGGGTTTTCTAGGAAACGGATTTTTTTTTTTAGAGAGTATACTAATACACTTCATCAAGATTTCAGACACTATATGTATTTCAAGTTTTCTACTTGTTCGTTTGACTAATTTTATACATCATTTTGATATTCTCCGATGTTAAAATACCTGAAAATTCCGGCGAGTTACAAAAATTTTTATTCTATTTAAATATATCTGTGACTTCATCCATTAATTTGAAGATTTTCAAATGTTTGTTAAACAAATATCAAATTTAAAATTTCTTAAATTTTTACAGTAAACGAAAAATGCAGTACTGTTCGTTAAAATTGAAGATATTTGTTAGAGATTGAATAATTTTTTTGGCAAGCAAAATTCCAGTTTGTCCTTTAATATTTAATAATAGTCGATAGTTATACAAAGCAATCTTGACAGTTTCTTGTCAAGATTTTTTATGGCTCTTGTGTCGTATTCAAGATTCACAAGCACTGACTGACTTCGTATGAGAAGGTGAGCGTTAAAATCGATACCAATGACAAGTCTGTTTAACTTATTTACCTTGCGATTCCTATTACAGAGGTTCATTGAAGATTACGATAGATCTTAATTGTAGTGTCCTTAATATTTTACATAATCAAGATTGCTCCTTTTCTTATCTATATTCTTTAGCATGACCAATCATTTAAGATTCGAAAGTGAAAATCCAACTACCATTATTATGTTTTAGAACAATTTTTTGTATGAAACTAAACGTGTAATATGTGAAGAAAATCTGAAATATAACTGATATGGATGCTCTTTCTGGATTGAGTTTTTAGAGACACAGAAACGGCAAACCAAGTATGGCAGATGGCCTATCAAATGTTTCTACAGGACAATATTCACTATTCTAAGTCGCTATCGAAATGATAAATATTAAACCGAATGAAAAAAAACTTATTTGAATGATCAATTCCTATTAACTACAAACCTTTGATTCCCCATCGATTTTATAATTCCTTTAAGAACACTTAACTACGAAATAACAAAAAAACAAAACTAAACACACAACACACACTGTTTGAATAAAAGTGTACACATAACGTCATCAATTTTCATATTCTTTTAGCACTTATTACATTTGCATAAAAAAACACCGGATATAGGCAAAAATAAATTGTCATACAACAACACATTTCAAACGACGATTTTCACGAATCATTGATGATAAATCATAAAGACTGTCAGAAATGACTAAAAAATTTTCAACATAAATATTAAAAAAAGTAAATATCATTCGAAATTTTATTACTTAAATTTTTTCGTGCTTCTATTTGATAACTATATGATTTATTATTTTCTTTTCGTCTTAATTGTTTCTTATTAAAGAAATTCCAAATAATACATATAATTATAATAAATAAAATTAAAACAATAGATATCATTATAAATATTGAACTAAGATGAAAATTTTCTCGTAATTTATTTGATGATTCATTGATTGGGCATTCATGCCGTTTAAGTATATCACATACATAAATAACAATGCTTTCTTTCGAATTTAACGGTCTTGGATACCCTTGATCACGTGCATAGATTTCAAGACGAATTGGTAAATGCACATTATTTTGATTATATAAGATTATAGAGCCATTGGGATATAAATGAAAATATGTATAATGATCTTTATTTGTAAAATAATAATTAATGAGACTATTTAAACCTACATCAGCGTCTGTTGCATGAATACGTGTAACGAATATTTTATTAGTTCGATGATGATGTGTTGATACGTAAATATATTCTTCATGTAAAGTATCGAATATAGGATAATGGTCATTTTCATCAAGAACATTTATTTGTATTTCTGTTTGAGTTAATTGTTGAGTTTTTGAATGAAATGAATTAATATGAAATTTATAAAATGATTTTATTTCTCGATCTAGTTCATGAATAACTTTTATTATGCCAGTATGAATATCAACGAAAAATGGAAATGGTGATAATGAATCTTCTTGAATAAGATGATAAGAAATTGGTATTGAGGATAAGAGACAATTATCAACATTAACTTGACCTTTATTTTAAAAAATAGAGAAAACAAATTAATTAGAGCTACAGCTAAAGATCGAAATGTTTTTGAATGAGTTCATACTATTGAAAAAAGAAAATATCTTAGATTGTCGTATACTAATGGATATTAGACGTTGTTCAATTCAAAAGATTCCTTTTAGAGACTTCGGATCAAAACCAATATACAATACACATAATATATGGAACCAAATTCTGCTTATTTGTATATGTTTCATCCATGGAGAAAACTTTGGTATATTTCAAAAAAAAATACAGAAAAGGACAAAACTTGTTTTTATTACTTTATTTACGTTGAACTACCGTTGTAAATACTATAATTGAGCTTGTCAAGCTCATAGTGAATTCATAACAAATAGGCTTTATTGAAAATGGCTATTGGTAAAATACACTTTGGTCACTCTATGCCAAAAGGTCAAAAAATAAATGTTGAAAAATGACGTAAAATATAGTTCTACTACATATTTTTAACTAACGAAATTCATCAGGTAGTTACCACAACTTCATCTAGCGTCATTTTCTCGAACATTGATTTGTTTTAGCTTTTGGCTAAGAGTGGACAACTCTAAAAAGCTCAGAGTGACTTAGAATGAATTTTACTAATAACCATTGAAAAAGGAGTCTGAATCCAAAAAGAAAATGCGTCAAAGCGGTACTGACTTTCGATCTAGATCATAAACATTGAGAACTGACGAAGCCCATTGGAGATATTGAGTTTAACGTCTTTGAATAATTACTTTGTCAATATTTAGAGAGATTTCTACGCTTTACTCTACACTATCCACGCAATGTGTGACGTATGTTCGTACACTCTTAACCAAAGAAGTCAACACAAAACGCAAAAATTCCTATCACTCTGTTCACTATAGTGGTGTTTTCTAAAGTTCGTTTAGTTTTTTCTTAATACAGTATCAAATCTTAAACAAAAAAGTTTTCCTACTTTACCAATTTCATAAGGAATTATTTGATGTTCAGTTGTATTAAATACATAGATTGTTTGACGAAACATAGGTAAACATGTTGTTTCATCAAACAATAAGATTTCAATATTGGCTTGATCATATAATGAATGATTATGTACGTCAGTAGCTCTTACAGTTATATTAAACTTCATGTCTGTTGATAGTTGTTTAGCTAAAAATAGGCTTCCATTATTCAGATCAATTTTAATAATATCCTGATAATCATGCTCTAAAAATTGATATTGAATAAGACGAAAATTTGATGAGTAATCATCATCATCAGCTTTGACTTGACCAATAAAAGACCATATTGGGGATGAATTAGATAATCGAAATTGATAATTTAATTGAGTAAATTTTGGTGCACAATCATTTTCATCATTAATATTAACTATAAGATGACGTTGGCTACTCAATGATGGATCACCATAATCTCCTTAAGAGAAATTAAAAATTTTCATGCATCTGTTTTTTTTTGTTCATTTTTCTATTGACTTACTTGCTTCAAAAATAATTATAAATTTTTCATCACCTAGTTCAATATCCAATAGTCTTGATGTTCGTATTATATATGTTGTTGAACTAAGCGTATTATTTTCCATTCCGGAATCTAACTCTATTGGGCAAGATTTTGTTAACGGTAAACATGAAAGAATCTTTAATGATAAATGATGATTAATCACTGTTGAATCCACATCACGTATAAAAATAGTACCAATAACTTGTCCTAAACGAATATTTTCATCAATATTAATCATAAAATTATCATTATTTTCATATAGTTTATATTCATTAAGAATATTCATTTGTATTGATGGTTGATTATCATTTATATCTAATACATCTATGATAATCGGTACCATACTTGATGTTATTTCATCAAGATTTGATGCTTTGACACGAAAACGATATGTTGAAATTGTTTCATAATCAAGTGGATGCTTAACTCGGATTAAGCCAGTATATTTATCTATTTCAAATGGAAATATATCATTGGGAATATCAGTATTTAGAATTGAATAAAGAATTGTTTTATCATAGCAATCATCATCCGTTGCATTTATTTGAAGTATTGGTGATGAAAAAGAATTTGTTATTGGAAAATTTTCTGGTATACCTTTATGATAAAACCGTTGATTAAAACGTGGTTGATATTCATTCAAATCTCTTACGGTGATATTAGCATGTCTAAAACAAAAATATCATTATTGCAATATATTCGAAAACATTCACAATGTTTAATATTAATGAAACTAGCTATGACAGTTTAAAATATTGATTATTAATCATTTCTTTGTTCAAAAAATACGACCTGATTTGAAATCATTGCTGAGAAAAACTGGGATGATTCTTGTGACAAAAAATATTATTTGGGATATGACTCGACATAAACACGCATGAGAGAACCATCCGAACTTATTTCCACTGTTTGAATTCATATTGGGCCTACAAGGACACGTTGGTACGGCCAGCAAAAGTCTAAAAGGCTTGGTCTCCATCAACTTTTGGAATTCAGCAAGAATTGTTTAATCGAATTTTCCACTCACATTTAGGTATGTATCAAAAACTTAAAGAGCATAATTTCGACATTAAATTTTGCCCATAGACAGGTCGAATGATCTATAGAGTATCCAGGAAGTTTCAGCTGAAAAGAATGTTCCGTTCCCTTATCATGATATTGAATCTTGAAGTAAACTCGATTTTTATATCATGTCTGTGACACGTTATTATCTTGTGAAAATTCGATATTTCGACACGAAAAATAAAAACATTCTTTTGTCTGAAAACTTTACGATACTCTCCGGGTCATTCGATCTATTTATTTATGGACAAAGTTTCAGGTAGAAAATTTGCTTTTTGATTTTTTAGTACGCTTCTAAAGCTAAATTGAAAATTCAATAAAAAATTCTAAATTGGCTTAGACAGTCTATGTGAATGAAGCCTTTTCGACCTCTTTAGTATTATGAAATTCTCCCTATGGGTCTAATATGATCTGATATGGGAAATATCAGTTCGGATTGTTCTCTCATCAGCACTGGTTCATTTTTTTTGAGTGTATAAAAATATTTTGATAATCATCGATAGTCAACAAAACGATCACTAACCTCAGAGAACAAACGAAGATAATTTTTACAAATTAAAAACACTGCATATAAAACAAGAGAAACGTTTCGATCTATATATGACAAGAGGCCACAACTGGAATCGATATAATTATAACCTTCCACTACAGTTACTTTTGCTTGATCTTTTCTTGTGGCATTTTCTTGTACTTTTTTTCCTAATGTGAATACAGATATTTTAAATATTCGGTTAGAAGAATAATAGAACCCTGAACTATGCGATATAGAGGCCTACAGAGTCATACTTTTTTAATTTCCAAGTTCGAAAACCTGTGAAATTTTTTTTCCATAAATTAGCGAAGGTTAACGTGTCTGACGATATTATGTAACTTAACATCGTATCAAAATGATGAAAATAGATTTAATGACGAAAGCAACAATATTAAATAATGTTAACCTATTTTGCACAATAATAACTTGTGAAAGTGAATCTAGTATAGATATTTTCTTTTGTTTTTTTTTCTATTTCATATTATTTAGCTATTAGTTTAATAGTTTTCGTTTACTGAACATTGAAGTAGTCAAAAATAAATGACAGATAAGAAAAGAATGAAATAGAATTTTCGAGATTTCTATATTTAAATCAACTTCGACTTCATCGGAGTCCGCTGCAATCCTATATTCATAAACAAGACTTACAAAACATTAGATTTCAAGCCACCTTTATCAATTGCAATAATGTACAACTGATAATTATTTTGTAATTCACAGTTTAAATTTTTTAATAATTGTAATCGTAATTCATCATGAGATTTTTCTAATAGAAATATTTTTTCCATTTCTTCTGTATTATTTGTAAATTCATAATGGTCAATATTATATTGTATTGAATCATAATCATGAGCGATAGGTAGTTGTACACGATAATTAATTGGAAGATTTTCTCGTATATTTAAATGAATATAGTCTTGATTAAATAAAGGTTTCCAATCATTTTCATCTAAGATGATCATTTTAAATATAATTATAAACGATGTTTGAGTAAATATTTGTAATTGTAATGAACATTCATCATTGAATAAATTTTTCTTACAAATTTTCTCACGATCTAATACTGTTAAACGAAATTTTAAAATTTTTGTTGATTCAATTTCGAAATAATCAGATGGATTTGATAATGAAAATTGTAAATATTCAAATGATAATGTTCGATTATGAATTAAATCATTTAAATTCCATTGTAATTTGTCTATTGCTGTATTTTCCATAACACTAAATGTTATATTACAAATTTCTTCACAATTACAAACATAAATAATTGGAATAAAAAATAAATAGAAACAATAATAGTAACGCATGTTTAAATATTCAAATATATCGTATATGTCTAAACAGATATATAAATGTATGGATATAATAAAGTATCTAAAAGAGAAATAAAAATAAAAATCTCCGATATCCTATATATTTTCACACGAACATATCAAGAATGTATGAGTTGATAATAAATAATAACATCCAATTAGAATCATACTTAGCTTCTCATTTAACCTTCTTGTCAAGTATGTAACGAAACAAACAGATGTTTTCTCGGCAAAATGAAAATGAAAAGATTTAATCACTAAGATGAAACAAATTCTCTTCTATAAAAATATGTGCATTTATCTAAGATAATTTCATACTTTTTACATGCTTACTAATTAAAAGAAATACTCAAAAATATCAGCAAGAAACTTTTTCCATATAGGCGATTAACACATTTATTTTCTTGCAATCAATGTTGCTCATAGATTAGACTGTCAATAAAGCCTTAAAGATAATAACAACAAGATCGATGAACAAGTATGTCTATATTGGCATACATTCAATTCAAATTTGTGTGTCGGTCAGAGAGTAAATATCGTTTCTTTTAAGAAAAGAAAACGATTGAATGAATGATTAATTTCTTGTCCTACTAACATACTTCTTTTTTTTCTAGTCTACTGTATAATATATATATATAATGATAATACTAACCGGAATAACGTTGTTCTTATTGCTTTTTGTTTTCAGCAATGCAAGCCGTTTGTATAAATTATTGATTTTCTATTTTATTTTTCATGAACATATCATGAACAAAGTTCTTTTCTTTTTTGAATACAAAAATATATTATCTTTAGTATGAAATATCGTAAAAAAAGCATGAAATATATTTTTTAAATTACAAGAGAGAAGTCTCATTTCATTCTATAAGTGAAATAATGATATAAGAGGAAGAAAAAAAAAGCCGATGAATCTTATTAGCTTATACACCTGCTCATTCGTATGTGGATATTATCTATTATGATGTGCAAGACATTGTATGACTATTAGAATAAAAATGACTAATACGATAAGTTCATGGTTTTTCTTTTGTCACATTACAAAAACTTATCGCATCATAAGACAATCAACAAAGATGAAATTTCTTTTGAAAAAAATTTGCACTTAGAACATTCAGTCGCGGAATGCTAGGCGGAAATCACAATTATCATCAACACTTGATAATGTTCACAAAAACTAATCAAATGACACAATGAAAAATGATGATAATTATCTCTATCTCACTTTTCTGAAGGACTAAAGAACATTTGCGCACATGGATACAAATATTAATACTTAGTCATATTTATCTTATTGACATAAGTATGAGAAAAAAAAATATAAGGACACACATATGAGAATGATCCTCGAAATAATGATGTAATCATCTCCTAATAATTATTAATACTGATATTCTTGCTATTTCTTCGAGTATTTGAATAACATCTTGTTCTGTCAATAGAGAAAGCTTCTAATTAAAAAAAAGAAGATTTTTGATCATTATTCATATTTCATCGCATAACGGCAATATTTGAAAACTCTCATGATTAGTAAGAAATTTGAAAATCAATTTTCATTTATTGATTAAAACAAACTTGCACAGTAACTTAAAAAAGAACATATCTTAAATATATACTTTACTTATTTATATCATTGTTCAATTAACGTTATATGATAAGAAAATGTCTTTCTGAGAGAATAATGATTAGACACACATCCATTAGACACCGTGACGACTGGCTATGTTATTCTGTTTAATTGAATTATGTCACGAGGTATTCTATGTTGTTCATTTCTTTCTTTCTCTTATTAGACATGAAGCAAACAACGAACTAATGATGTTAGCGAATGCTTGTCAAGAATGAGAAAATCTTTACAAAATTATCCTTTTTTTTCTAGCATCTAGATAGGATATTATGATGACCTAGAAAACACTTTGATTTCCGTTTAATGACGTCATCATTGTCTTTCTTACCTTGTCAATTGGAGAGATAACATGCTGTTCTTATTCTCAATTTCAATACAATCAATTTCATTTTGAACATAATCACTATTGCTGTCTAAAACAAATACGGATCTGACACGAGCTTTACCATTAATTCATTCGTACAAATAACGTTTAATTGAGTAAAAAAAAGCAGCATGTTCTCTTTGATCACTTTAATGCCTTTTGTATTAATTGATCTCAAAATACATAAAGATGAGATTGAGAAAAGTAAATAGTTTTGATCACAAATATACATAAAGGATACGACAACAACAACAAAAAGAACGTTTAAATAAGTTTTTTTTCTTTTTCTATTGATTTAATATCTGACTTCAAATACTTTCGTCATTTTATGTTGTTTTTATTTTTGTTAATGATGTTGATCATTTGAACAAAGTAAAATTTTCATTATAAAATCATTTGATAAGAAGAAAACAAAGTACAATAGCAAGTATTCAAACAAAACAAAAACTATGTTTTTTCTTCTTTTTCAATTCAGTTAAGAAGAAAAAATGCAGCTGATGAACAAAGAGAAGGACGTTTTTATTTTTGCTAATCAGTACCATAAAATGGTGACAGTATAGTCAAAAGTTCTCTATTTTGCATCACAGTTTTTATAAAATCATGTTTATAAATAACACCATTTTCACTACCAGTAAATTGTCCGAGAAATTGATGAATTATAGCAGAACATGCTTTGTCATTTCCTTTTCCATCACCACCTAACATTCGTGTTATTGCCTAAATAAAGTGAAAAAAGTTTTTTATTTCATATTGAAATTTTATTTTCATTTTACATTGGCCATTTTTTTTATTTCTTCACCAGATATCTGATTATCATTATTTTCATCATATATTCGAAATGTATAATCAATTTTTGATTGTAAATCACCTTTAGTTGTTAATATAAAACCACGCATAAATTCATTTACATCTATTGAATAATATTTATTAAATAAATAAAGATAGATAGATTACTTACCAACAGTACCACTATGGTCTTCATCGAAAACTCTTTCTAATGAATCAACAACTTCATTTATATGTGCTGGATCAAGATGACTCATATCTTTATAAATAGATATCATTTGTTTTTTAGATAATTTTCCTTTTGTTGATCGGTCCTATTAAAAAATTTAAAATAAAAAACTCTCTATGGATTTGTTATTTTCTTCTATCATACTAATATTGCTTTGTACCATAATTCTAAGTCATATTTTGACATACCTAAAAATTAAGTTTATAATTGTTTCTTAGACAAAGATTTTCTTATTGTTATTTATATAGGGTTAATATTTTTATTTTGACCTTTAGTGTTAAATCGAAGATATTCACGATGAATCATAATTTACTAGACGACAAATTATGACATAGAAAAATTTTTATTTTTATAGATCTCTCAATGTATGAATTTTTTCGTAGACTTTTAATTTGAAGATAAAATGTTCAAAGAATTTCATCTTATGTAAGTATGAGATTATATCACACATTTGTTGTCTTCATTCTAGAGTATAGTTTATATTATTTCCAAACACATTAAAACTAAATTAGTCATACTCATTGAACTCTTCTATATATAAAAACAAAGAATAAAATAGAACTAGTTTTACCAGCTTTTTGCATAAGTAAATTTTTTGTTTCATCCAATAATCTTTCTGATGAGCCATTTTTATTTCCCATCTTTGTCAGTATATAAAAATATTTTGAAAGTGTTTGTATGAGAGAATTTATACACCAGTAAAATTATGTATTTTTTGAAGAAAATATTTGCATAAATTCAATTCACGCCAGAAGAACTACCCACAGTGCTTTAAAACGTTGATAAAAATGATGAGAGGGCAGACTATTTAAAATGTTTGACGCACAACGAACGAACGAAGGACGACAACAACAAAATGCACATGTACTTCAGAATAGAGAAAAAAGAAATTTTGTTGCTTCGCGCATGCATATACAATCGTAAGTGCAAAAACAAAAATGTGAAGAGGTAGTGTATTTTAGTAAGAAGTGTTTCAAGTAAGCGAAAATATGGTTGCTATCAAAATGATGACGTAGTTTTCTCAATAAAATAATATCTATGTCCAGTATTCTTCATTGATATTTGCTTCAATATTATATTTCAAATAAAATAAACAAAAAAACATCTGATGCTTTTTATTAATTTTGTTCGTATTTATTGACACATACGATTTACGAAATAAATATTTTTTTTTTATATAAAAAAAAAGTCCTAGAAAAAATTTTCGATCCGTTTTTTTAAAAACATTGTGATGTTTTATCACAAATATTTCTTTCTTTAAATAATTCAGAAATATTCGTAAGAATAAATATAATAAATGAACCAACAAATGCACCTATTTGCGTTGCTAGACCAAACCATACAAGACCACGATGATCTTTTTTCTTTCGAAAGTAATTTCCCATCAAAATACGTATATAAGAACCAGTTAAATAAATTAAAATCCATACGAAAAACTAAAAAAAAAAAATATTTTTTTGTATTAAATTATGACTGTTTTTTATTTCACTCTACTTACGATAATTATATGACCCAATATACTGTTTACTAATGGAGGACATGGTGAGAATATAGCCTAAGAAATAAGTACAAGTGTTTTTTATGTCATTAATACATTGACTTACTGTTAGAAAAATATATACAAAAAAAATTGTATGAGTCATGTAAAGAAAACTGATAGATTTTGGTGATACTTCAGGAATAAATGCTCCAATTAATGTCATAATCGGATAAGCAAATGAATCTTGAAAAAGAAACACAAGTCAAATTTTTCTTTTTAATAATTTTTGTCTTACTTGCAATAATTGTATAATGGAATGTTGTTGCACTGTAAGCATTTAGTGAAAATGTTGTTAAACCTGGACATATTCCATATAACATAGCACTCGATTGAAATACTATAAATAAAAAGAATCCTGGTTTGGATGTAGCAAATCCTGTTGATTGTATTTTCTTTTTGTTAGTTTCTAATTGATTTTCAATTTTATCTATTGTTTTCATGGTATTTTGAATTATACCAATATCTTGTATATTATCCATTAGAATAAATATTCGAGATTGATGATGTTTCGATTTTTTTATTGCTGTTTTTTTTTCTATCCGACCTGTTTTCATAAGATGAAGACTTGAAAATGCAAGAAGAGCTGCTAATGGTAAAGAGCTTAATAAAAGAAAATAAGTTCGAACAGAAAATCGAGGTGGATGATGAACTTCAATCAATGTTTGATTAATTTTATCATCAGGTATAACACAATCTGATGTTCCAATGCCTTGGCTAATGCCTACCAATGCTGGTAGAAGAGCAGTAAGTGCTTCACCAGTAAAATATGCATTTAAATATAGAGGTTCATATCGATGTAAAAATGGAATAAATGTTGTTGAAGATATACAATCAGCTACAGCTGTGAAAAAACATAGACACATTAAACAAACACTTTGTTCTCTACCAAATAGATAAGCTGTTTTATCCCATAAAAAAGCGAATGCAACAGCCAATGTAGTACTAGTAACGAGAAGAACAAAATTGACCGGAATTTCAAATGGAGCAGTGTTTAATTTAAAAATGATTGAAGCAAAAACAAGAAGAATTGGAAAGATATTAGCTGCATTAATAATCAAAGTCAATTTAGCTGGTAATTGCCATGATTCGGGTAATATTGGAACAATTATTGGTAATTCAACCCAAAGACCAGCTAAGTTTGTCCATGTACCCAAACCAAAAATTATTACAAAAATATAAACGATAGCTTTTAAATGAAATCGTCTTGATGATGTTGGAATGATATCAACCTGTGGTGAAGGATTGGCAATCATTGTGAATTATTGTATTCAAAAGAAATGAATCAAATGTAAGGGAGACTCAATTCTTATCCTTTTAAAATTGATAAGAATCTATTCTCTCGAATTACCAAACAAATTACTTGACTCTATCAACAAAAGAAGCAAAACTTTGTCCTTGGATTAAAGACATTTGTTCAATAATATATGAATTGAAAGATTTGTTTGAAAAAAAATCAGAGCAAATGAATATTCGCATGAAATAATTATAGATAACATATTTCATTATAGACTAAAAGAAGTCTTGTGATATTTGCTCTTTTCAAATATAGTCTAACGAGTCATGAGATCTTGTATTATTTATGTACATTGTCTCGTATGAATACATACCCATGTTGTAATATTCAATTGAAAACAAATGTTTAGCCGTTCAGTTAACCATAGTTTTTCTGTTTGAATTGTTTTCTTATGCCTTATAGCATGAAATATTTGTCAACTCTTAGAAAAATGTCAGATTTCAATCGAACACATGCTTAAGTCAGCTGTACTAGTCACATCGGTGGTTTTGGTTTATTTTTCGAGTTCGATTATTTGGTAAAGATGGCATCACAAAATATTCATCAATCAGAAGACTGAAACAATTGAAAAACGTACAACTCCATCTACTATAATATATTGTGATATAGTAAGCTTGACATTTTTTAAAATAAAAATCGACGTCATCAAGAGAGACGATATCAAGTTAATAGAAAAATTAATCAAAAGTTGACAAAAAAAGTACACCGCTTGAACCGCTATTATTTTTATGAACCGCATGGAATCGAGAGTTTTAAGCAAAACTTGACAATACGGGTATAATTGTAAACTTATTGTTGGAATGTAAGATGTTAGAGGTAAAAATTCAATTGACATCAATTATGAAAAATCAATTATCGATTCTATCTCTACGATATAATATTCAGCTTTAATAGATTCTTCAATCAACATGTGAGTATAGATCACTGTGCATTTTTCTATGCCAGACGAAAATGCCTCTTCCATTCTCGGAACTGCTTTCATTTGCTCAGAAATGATTGCATATTACACAGAAAATCATTTTTAAGAAAATAATGAATTTTTTGGTGAAAAACATCTAAGAGAGGAACCCTTTTCCAATTTTTTTTTTAAAGAAAATTCTTTGTTTCTAAATGTTATGTTCTATACATCATCCGATATAGTTTCGTTTGTTGGTTTCGAATTAACCATTAGTTTTCAATAGAAATGCTTTAAAGTCTGAAAAGGAAAGAAGCTTACTAGAGAAGCTAACGTCTTCCTTGAAAATCTGCAGTATGGTGCCGGAGCGCTTATGGTAGTTTCGATGATTGGTGACACAAAATAAAACATTTTGACATAGTTTCAGCGAATTTAGAGGGGTACTAAGGGATGCGCGTTCGTTTTATGTCTACACGTATTTCAAGAGAAGTTCAATTCAGACGCATGACTCGCACTCTGATTGTTTCCGTAGAAATGTAATTATTATTTGAATAATACCTATTCTTACTTTGAGCTTCGTGACTTGAAAACCTCCCTAGGCAAGTGTTCCAAGTTTCTTAGCAAAAACATGATTCATTCTGAATATGTTTACTTAAAACTAAATTTTAATCTATTGTTTTTCATCACCAAAAAACGAAGCTCATTTGCCCAACTATTTGTTCCTTCGAACTCCCGATGCTAACACGATGATTATCAATGTATCATTTTTCTCTAGTATAAAATTTTATTTAGAAACTTAGCACACAACAATGTCAAGCTACCAAGAAAGTATCTTTCAAAGTTTCCTATTACAAGATGTATGAGACCAGAATTTGAGACCACTATATTCTTAGCTCTATCGCTTTTTAAATGAAGTCGTTCTTACATCATAAATCAATGCTTTATTTTCATACTAATATCTTGTAATTCAAAAAACACACGATGACGAAGAAGATGCCATAAATAAATATACAATCTGTATGTATTAAATCTTAATGAATAAACGAATCACAAGAATATATAAGAGCACGTAGAAAAATAAAGTTTCATCATTATGAGCACTGAAATATATCTTTTCTACCATCTGACCTTATCTATTCATCTTGTTCACTGCAATTATTTTTTCATCATCTTTAGATAATAGTCCTTTTATCGTTTGAGAATATGATTGCGGTTGAAAATGTGTGAGACTGGGACAAAAAAAAAATTGGTTCCACACATCTCTATTCCTATTACCTCGTGAAACGGTCACTCAATTATGGATTTTCAAAGGACATTATATATTTGTTTTTTGCATACCGATGATCAACATATAATGATCATTGTTCTTAAGTACATTGAAGAACCCCTACGAAACTTGTACGAATCATAAACTAGAACATATTGCTAGATAATGATGCATCTACCGATTCACAACAACCTCTCCCGCAATAGCTATGAAGCTGGAAGATAAAAGAAAAAAAATAATATCGATCATAATTTTGTTGTCACTGAAAGTATCAAAGTGCACAAGGTGCTGCTGAATTCCATGCCTATTGAAATATGTACACACAAGTTTTCAGACCTCTATCTCTTATTATGACTAAGATCCAGACAGAGAAACACTTCTATTCGGGAATATACATTAAATAGTAATAATAATGACAATTCATATTTAATTTTGAATCATAAATTTCTAATATTTATTTTTTTTATATCGTTTTCAAAACTACTACTTCACAAGAAGTTCGCACAGCACAGCCAAACAAGAAAAAGAAGATGTATAAAAAAATGTGAGTTAGATTTTGATGTTCTAAAATAACGATCCAAATAAATAAGAAACAAAAAAAAAGAATTGTTCATTAAACTAAGTATAAACTAATCTTCTACAAGGTTATTTTAAATCAAAAAACAATCAAACACTGTTTTGAATAGCACACACACAAGAAAACTAATCGGCAACAGGAATGAGTTTATCATCGACGGTACGTACAATAAAGCCAAGATCTTTTTCACGCATATTTTTAAGACTGTTCAATAATGCATCGAATGAAGAACCTGTTAGAAATGAACTACCTTTGCCACTATCTAATAAATGATCATGACCATTATTTGTACTACTAGCTGTATCAAATGTACTAAATGGTGGAATAAGAATAGGTGAACGTGATCGAGATTCATTTGAACTTGAACCTCCTGATGATGTTCCTGTAAATGGATTTTGTAATGTTGAATTTACTTGTGATGTACGTTCACTATCACTTGTTGGATTACTAGCATTTCTATGAATACCTTTTGTATCCTTTGCTTTTTGATAATTTTCATTAGTTGATTGATGTGAATTAATATCATCAGCTTGGCTTGATAAATTTCGTGCATCTTCTTTACATATAAATAAGATTAATTAAAAAAACAATTTTTCAACTAGTTTTTTACTTACGTGTATCAATTTTAGCTGCCAAATTTGATGTAATTGTTGCTGTTGACGAAGGTGTTAAACTTGAACTAACCTTTGCTTGATTAAGTTCATCTGAAAGAGATGATAAACTTGGCTGTATGACTGGTTCAAAATGATGACTATGTATTGATGAATATCCATGGTGATTTGAAGATGTTGTTGTACTTGATAAAATATCGGCTTCATATTGTTTTATTTTTTCATTTTTCGTATTATTATTTTTTTTATTGAAATTTCTTTCTAATTCTTTATCTTCATTAATAAAATCGTTAATTAAATCTCTTGAATTATTTTTCAATGGTGATTGACGTAGTGATTGAAGAAATTCTCGAGCAAATTTACCTGGAGATGATTCAAGAATTGATGAATCTTTTTTCTGTTGTTTTGTTTCATCTTGTTCTATAAGACGAGTTTCAAGTAATGTACGTAATGCATTTAATTGATCAGATACTCGTACACCAAAATCTTTTGATGGTGAACCTAAAAGTAAATCAAAATTAAATCTAAAATAACTGAATGGATTAAAGTTGTTCGTTTATGTTTATAATATTGTTAATTCTTTTAGAATGTGATATACTTCCTTAATTTTTTAAAATGACTTTTCAATCTGTGTCTTTTATCAATAATTAAAAATTCTTGGTTTATTTTATTTTAGAAAAACTGATTGAACTAGTTCAATTGTAATCTGAAATCATTTCTTGAGCATTGAATATTTATAACTGTGTCGGTTGAAGAGAAAAAAAATTAAAACCTTTCAGTGTACAGTGGCGTTCAAAATTGATCATACACTGAGCACAAAAATAGATACATATTGATCACTTAAAACTGTCACATGTCATCCTTCTAAACGAGAAGACCCATTTCTAAAACATATCAGCAAATTTTCAGTTGAGTTCTCAGTTAAAACATTTTAAAAACTCGTGTTCTCGTTCGGGAAGATAAAATGTGACAGTTTTAATTGATCAATATGCATCCATTTTTGTGCTAGCTATAAAGAATAATTTTCAGCCAGATCAAAGAAAATCATTTTCACTATTTTTGATCTAACACAACAAATATACGACTCATCAAGATGAAACTTTCAACGTATAGATTATTCAACGGGCGTAAAATCACTAAAATAATCTGCAGTTATTCTTGATTAAGTCGTGTAATGACAATAAATGGTTACTTTTCTATTAACATTGCTTACTTTTCTATCCTATATACTTTCTTTAACTTTAAACAAACGAACAAACATCACTAGTTGACTTATTATGCTCGATTGGAGATAGCAGAAGATGATTCAACCGATTGATGATATGCTAGAAGAATGCTCTTCACTTCCTAATGATATGAATTTTACATAGGTACATATCGAAATAATTTCATTTATCTATTGAATAGGATCATTATTCGATGAGAAAAAAAATGAAGCTTTGATTAACTATTTTCATCAACAAAATCAAGGATGACTTTTTTTCACATTATTTAGATGGTTCCTATTAAAGAACAACTGATGAAATTGAAAAGTCAGTTACCGTCGTATGTCCATACCGTATCTACTGACTCTCTATGACATACTTAGTCTGCAATGTCTTCTTTAACG